CGGAACATAATGTTCCCAACTTTGTCTGGATGGCTGTCTTGCTACATCAGCCTCTGTTGCAGCAGGGAGGCGTTCGCTCCGCGACTCTGGTTGCACCTGGTCACCGGATCTCTACTGTACTGCGCGCGCCCAACTCAAGACGTCCGCGCCCCCCGGGAAACACCGCCGGTGGCAAGCTCAGCTCGCATCCCTCAGTCGGGAAACAATCTAAGAAAAACTGGAGGGTCTACCAGCACAGGCCAAAGCATAATTTACCCGACTTTGTCTGGATGGCTGTCTTGCTACATCGGCCTCGTTGCAGCAAGGAGGCGGTCGAACTCTCTACTCCGCTGCACACGCCCGCTGTCAAGACGCCCGCACGCCCCAGGAATCCCCGCTAGTGGCAAGTTCAGCACGCATCCCTCTGTCGGGAACCAATCTAAACAAATGTGACTACCAGCACAGGCTGGAACATAATTTGCCCAATTTGTCTTTCGCAGTCATGTGGCATCCACCAAATCAACTAAACGCTGCAACGGCAGTGTCAAAGACCCTGGTTCCAAGCTGTCTGGACGGCAGGGTGGCGGCGACAGTGGACTCGAATTCTTCCTTCAAACATCTGTGGGAGGCTGACGCGGGAATCCTTTCTCATATAACAACGTTACACAAATCAGAAGCAGCAGCGCGGAATGGGGATTCCCCGCTGCAGTGTCACGGCGGAGAGCCGCGTCCTCGTCCTCCTCCTCCTCCTCCTCCTCGCCCTCCTCCTCCTCCTCCTACTCCTCCTCCTTCTCCTCCTCCTCGTCCTCCTCATCGGCCATCCTCCTTCGCATCCTCCTGGCCCTCCAGATTCCCATCGAGCCATCGGGTCCCCTCCTCCATCGGCGCCTGCTCTTAGAATCCTCTGCAAAACGACCACCGCCGCATCCCCCTCATCATCGTCGTCGTTGTCTTCCTCCTCCTCCTCCTCCTCCTCCTTTTCCTCCTCCTCCCCCGTCCTGGCCATCCTGCACATCCTCCTCTTCCCGCTCTCTCTCTCTCTCTCTCTCTTGTCCTCCTCATCCTCTCCCTTCTCCTCCCCCTCCTCCTCCCCCTCTTCCTCGTTGTCCTGCACCTCCTGTTCCTCTGCATCCTCCCCTCGTCCTCCTCCTCCTGCCCCTCATCGCCGTCCTCTTGTGCCTCCGCAGGTTGAAATCTGTCGCCCCGTTGCGGTTGCGGTACGGTGGCGCGGGCAGGTTGAAATGTGTCGCCCAGTTGCGGTTGCGGTTGCGGTGGCGCGGGCGGGTTAAAATGTGTCGCCCGGTTGCGAATGCGGTTGCGCGCGCGGGCAGGTTGAAATGTGTCGCCAAGTTGCGGCTGCGGTTGCGCGCGCGGGCAGGTTGAAATGTGTCGCCCGGTTGCGGTTGCGGTTGCGCGCGCGGGCGGGGACCCATGATGTGTGTGTACCTGAATTGAAATGTGTCGCCCAGTTGCGGTTACGGTTGCGCGCGCGGGCGGGTCAAAATGTGTTGCCAGGTTGCGTTGCGGTTGCGCGCGGGCAGGTTAAAATGCGTTGCCCGGTTGCGAATGCGGTTGCGGTTGTGGTTGCGATTGCGCGCGCGGGCGGGTTGAAATGTGTCGCCCAATTGCGGTTGCGGTTGCGCGCGCGGGCGGGTTGAAGTGTGTCGCCCGGTTGCGGTTGCGGTTGCGGTTGCGCGGGTGGGTTGAAATGTGTCGCCCAGTTGCGGTTGCGTTTGCGCGGGCGGGTTGAAACGTGTCGCCCAGTTGCGAATGCGGTGGCGGTTGCGCGGACGAGTTGAAATGTGTCGCCCGGTTGCGAATGCGGTTGCGCGCGCGGGCGGGTTGATATGGGTCGCCCGGTTGCGGTTGCGGTTGCGCGCGCGGGCGGGTTGAAATGCGTCGCCCAGTTGCGGTTGCGGTTGCGCGCGCGGGCGGGTTGAAACGTGTCGCCTGGTTGCGGTTGCGGTTGCGCGGGCGGGTTGAAATGTGCCGCCCAGTTACGGTTGCGCGTTCCCGGGCGGTTTAAGTTGTGTTGTCAGAAGTGCTCTCCTGACGTTCAGTCAGCCAAACACTAAGTCAGTCAGTCACACCGGCGGGCACGGAATTTCACCCAGCTCCGCCGGGAACTATAAAAACGTAGATCGGTTTCCTCACTGAGGTGAGGTGTGAGAAAAAGAAGTTGGAAAACCAATCGTGACCATGCCCAAGAATACCCCGCAATAACCAAGGAACAATAGCCTCCCTCATCCGAGGACAGACGGCGTAGCGTCGTAGATTAACCGTGACAGCGCAGCCTTGACAACCGAAAATACAATGCCTGGCAGCAGACCTAAAACGGGAGGACGTACAAAGGCTATGGGAAGCAAGCTTAATCATGGTGACAGCAAAGTACGGGCTGACTCTTGTCCGAAACACCTGGAGCTTCCACAACATGTTAGGGAACCTGTCGGAGTCAACCGTAGGGAGCCCCTTCATGTGACGCCGACTGAGAATCTCAATCACCGAACGCCCAGGCTTCGGGTACCAACGCTTAAGGTCATACAATTTACGTTGAACCGCCGTTCGAGCATCGTGGGTGGGAAATTCAACATAACAGGAAGTAGGGAACCGTAAGCCTCTGTCTGACATTTGGTATACAATCGAATACTTCCACCGTCCACGGTGTCGGCGCACAAGGATACATGCATCTGAAGCTAGACATGCACGAATCCTTCCAAGGTCAGCACGAAACTCAGCACAGAGTGCAACACAACGGGCACGAGCGGCAAGACTGACGTGATGCAGATGACGCAACTCTGCCCCTCCCCCACACATCATGAAACCCCCCGATTCGAGATTGTATGCCAAGGCCCTTGCGTCAGCATCTGTGCACAGCGATCGTATGCAGCATACAAGGCTGGTGACCGGGGTAGAACTGCAGCACATACTTGAGCAGAGACAGGCACTCAACGTGGAAAGCCTGTATACCGACAGTCAGTCCCAGGCCGGCCTTCTTTACATCCAGAGTCCGATTCAGCTGTCGCGGGATGATTTCATCCCTGGCATGGGCCTCGCCATCGGGCCCGATCATAGCTCCCATGTGCCTCGTGAACCGAACAATAGCTAAATCGCCCAAGGCAGGCCCGAGAGAGCGAACGAAATCCTGAATCGTCGTCACCGAAGCGTTGCCAGCACTCCAAGAGGACAGTCTCATATGGCTCATGGGCGCGATTCAAGTTTCGCCCAAGTCTACCACTGCGGCGCTCTTAAGCACAATGCAGAACAATTACGAAAGATGCAGAGGAGCACAAGAGGAACCGAGTTCGAGCCTGGCTCGAACCTGCTTTTCGAGAAAGTCCTGCGCGAGATGCTCACTGTTCTATTGTTTCGCACCGAGTTCGAGCCTGGTTCGAACGACGAGAAGAAAGGAGGGAAGAGGAGGTGGAGGCGCGAAGAGGAGGAGGAGGAGGAGGAGGAGAAGGGAGGAGGAGGAGGACGAGAAGGAGGAGGAGCACGAGAAGGAGGAGGAGGAGGAGGAGGAGGAGAAGGAGGAGGAGGAGGAGGAGGAGGAGGAGGAGGAGGAGAGGAAATCCGATATTTGTTCATCTGTTTTGGGCCTCCAGGGGCCCTCGTGACCACGGCTGAATCCTTTTCGACGTCTCAGGGCCCCGTACACGGGAGCTTTGACAAACCAATGCGCTGTGGCAGTAACGCGCCGAGGGCGACTGCAGCCGTGGGTCGACACATTCTGCACTCTTCGCTCTCTCCCGCTGGATCTGGCAAAGTCATGGTATACAGAATTCTCATTTCTGGGGTCCTGATTTTTTTGTCAAAACAAGCTCCGAGAGAGGTCCATGGAGAACCAGGGGTGAGGAGGAGGAGGAGGAGGAGGAGGAGGAGGAGGAGGAGACGGTCGAGCGCTGGGTCCAGACCTCCACCCACGCGAAATCAAGAAAACTCAACAGGGGAATTTGCCCATGTTTTGAACCCCCCATGGCCCCTCGGAGGCTGCTTTGGGCCCACTCTGAAGCCAGAAAAGAGCTTGCCCGGCGGAGAGTGAAACTGCTCCTGGATCTGGTCGAGGGCTCCAACAAGGCCTTCGCCATAGAACTTGCAGCGTCGGCGACTCTGGGCGTGGCCGACAGCAAGCCATCCTCACTCCGACTGAACTTACCCACCCACCCGCCCCAGGTGGGGATCGTTGCCGTCTGCTTCGGATTTCGCAGCGCCAATCCCCATCTAGAGGGGTATTCTGCGACAGACAGCCTACAGCCTACCACCCCTCTCCCAGCATGGGTTCGGCTGGTTCTGACGATACCGAGACAGGAGCCCGTCCTGCCGCGGCTGCCTTGTTTTGCAAAGAGAAAGCGGGCGGCAAGGCAAAGGAACTTCGGCTACAAACGAGAGTGGCCGTATAGGCAAGAGTGACCTTCGGCCTGCGGATTTCGGAGCCCGCGGGGGAGACCACTCTCGACATCGCGAGCCAACGCTGCCAGAACCCCTGCGAGCCCGCACCAAAGCCACCCGGCGAAAAGTCACCCTTACTTACACATAGACGAGGCTGGCCCAGTGGAGCGTTCAACTGTGCGGCCCGGCCCACGCTCGCGCCGGCTACAGACACGCATTCACATACATACGCACGAATCCCGCCTGGTCGCGCATGAGAGGACTCCCTCAGGCGGCATGGGCACGGTGCGCGCGAGAAGCGGCGCGCGACTCGGAAAATTTAGCTAATTCTTGGGTCGGCAGGAAACAATGCCAGGCTTAGGTGGGAACGGCCTCTCGCTTTGAAACTCCCTCTGCGTCAGCCGCTGCTGCCGATTGCCGTAGCGTTACAATGGCTGCCGTCGCGTTCCTAGCCATAGGAGGGTCAACGCATGCGCGGCCAGGGGCCGCCAGAGGATGGAGAGCCTCCGCTTTGGAGGTCGAAACTCCATTTCGGAGGAAAGGCGTTCCACTTTGGAGGAAAAGGCGCTTTTGAAATGGAGTTCGAACCTCACTTACTTAAAAGCCTCTGCTCCTCTGGCACTGCGGAGCCAATGCTAGGCACCAGGGAGGCCTTGCAGCCTGTACTCCTCGATGACTGCATCCTCGGGTCAGACGAATGGGGGAAAGGGATTGCGAAAAGGATGCGGGGCACGAAATCTACTGCATACAACTGGCTTCGGCCCCGCTGTTGGGCACTTTCCCCACTAACATTCCGGGTGTCGCCCAAGATCGCCAAAGGCGCCCCTGGCCCAGGATGTCCCCAACTAGGGGGGCCCCGGTGGCTTGCGGAACACCCCCCACGATGCCCAGGAGGCCCCAAGGACCCTAGAACGGCGCGAAAATCTGGGGGCACTTTGGGCCAGGGGCACTCTTGGCAAACCCCGACCAGGGAGGATTAAGAATGGGGGGGATCTGCCGCACTAACCAGTTCTCGCCTCGCCGCCAAGGACTCTCCTCGATACACTGGCGCCCCCCAGAACCAGGGCAATCGGCTACGACAAGCTCGCGTCGTGACGCTTTGCGCGTCAATGTCCGACACCGCGTGCATCGCTCAACCTGGAGCGAAAGCGGCTTTCCGATTACGCAGATCGTTCGACGTCGGCCGACTCCAAGCCAATTGCGGCGGCGTTCAAGCTCGAACGCCCGCGCTGGGGTTGCCGCCGCGCCGACACGACACGACACGAGCCTGCCATACGCGAGCCGGTTCATGAATCTCCCCTCGTTCACCATCACCCCATTTCGTCCGACCCAACGTCCACATCGCGCTTGCATCCCATGATGACGGGGCACGTTTCGTGGATGCGCGCGGGCATGATGTCCAGTATCCGCTGGATCTTGCCCCCGAAAATGCCACACGAAGCTGCGCCCCCCGCGGCCTCCACGATCATGGCCATGGGGAAACCCTCATACATGATGCGCAGCTTGCCGTTCGGCTTCTTGGAGGGGCACTGGGGAAACTTGCTTGGCTCGGCCCGAACACGCCGAGCGCAACTCATCGTTCCAGCGCAGCGCGCACGCATGTCAAGAACAAGGATGGACGAGAAGGAGGAGGGAAGAGGAGGACGAGGACGGAGGAGGAGGAGGAGGAGGAGGAGGAAGAGTGAGTGAGTGAGGGAGGAGGCACGCGCACTGAAGTAGCCCGTCGCGCTGCGCTAACGGCCACTGTAGCGCGGGGGAGGACCAGCTGGCCCTCCCCCCGCCCGCCAAACGCCCACCCCACAGAGCCTGCCAACGGATCGCGGCGGGAGAACGGCGGGCAACGAGCTTAGGATATTGTGAAACTCTGGGCTGGAAGAGGTCAGCGGGCCTGTCAATTGACATGCAGCCAATGTGTCTCAACGAGAGCCACAACATCCAGCCCACAACTCTTGATGCAAGATGCAAGGGAAGCGAATCAGAAAGTGCGTCCCTTGTATACCGTACTCAGGCTATGTCGTGAGAAGGTGCGTCCACCCCCTGGCCCAGTTGTGAGCCGAATGGCGCGAGGAAGCACGAAGCGCGAGCCAGAAAGAAAGATACAGAGAGAGAGAGAGAAAGCAACAGCAGCATATCACTACACTTTCAAGTATATTCTATATTCTTCTGCATACTATCTGCATCTCACACAGGAAAACCCCGCGGTTAAAGAGTGCGTGGCAATTCGGCAGCGAACACACATCCAGCATACGAGTCAAGAGCATTATGCTGCAAGTCTCGGGGCACCGAACAACATATATCAACGACCTGAAAGTATGCATCTGAGCTTGTCACAGGCAGTCCCATCATATCGCCACCATTGTTATCATCCGTCACCTCTTGGTAGCGGATCTCAGCCTTTCTGCGTAGCTGCTTTGATGCTATGATATGCCACGTGCGTCTTGATCGTCGGGCAAAGGTTGTAGCCGCGGCTCTCACCGGAGTCCAACTTCAGACGTCTCCCCAAATAACTCACATACTGCATGTCCTTGCCGTAGATGTCCTTGAACGCCTTGCCCTCGTGCTTCCGACCATTGACGCGCTCGGTCCGCATTGTGATCACCAGCTGCTTCAGAAGTGCAGCCTCGCCCAGGTAGATCGGAAGCTCCAGCGTAAACCCACAATCATACATCGCGATATCCAGATCCTCGCACCTCGTTAGCTTCTTTGACTTTTCTTGATCTTCGGGGAGCGAAGATGTTCCTGCTGGAGCTGGGCGTCGCTGCTTGAACTGTCCGCCCTTATTGGCAGTGCCAAGCCACGGCGCCGTTCGTCGTCCTGCTTCGGCTACAATAAGTAAATCGCACGAATAACGCCAGCCACGATAGAAATCGCAGTCGCCACCGTAGGAGCCATTGCAGGGCAAACTCCATACACTGCAAGTGCACAGAGATGAAACAGAACTGCAACAGGGTCAGGTATCTGGCTAGCCCTCTGCGCGCCACTCCTCTCCATCGGGCAATTGTCCGTCGCGTCGTCCACGTGGAGAGCTTCGACCTTTTCATCTCCGTCCTGAACGTCGTCCTCATCGTCGTAGAAGCACTCGTCCTTGCAATTGTACGCCCCCACTGGCCATGTCGATATCTCGTCTTTCTTATCCTCGGCGTCGTCCTGCGGCTCCTGCTAAACATGCTTCGCCATATTCGGGTTGACCCCATGGACCTCTTTCGTTGCTGCCGCCTTTCTAGGGTCCAACCAACTTCTGTTCGCGTGTCGGCGCTGCTCTTGAGTCGGGCCCCAGGGTCCACAGGTCCAAGGTAACCACGTGCCTCGCGCAGCCCCGTGGAAGCACCTAGGTTAAGCAATCCGCCAGCATCTGCTCGCTCTTGACCCACTTGATGCTAACCTCCTTGAGGCGTTGTCGCAAGATGACCGACTCCAAATATCAGAGAACCCCCGGTCCGTCATGGAAATCTTCTCCTTCGCGATCGCGTCGAAAAGGCTCGCGCAGTCCGTCGCAGAAATTCACTTCACCGGGCAGGTGTCGTGCGCAAAATAAGCGGCGTCCATGCCGGGGTACAGGATCACCGCCAGGGTAGACCGCGCCCAGATCAACACGTCCACTGGATCACACTTTGTACTGATTGTTGTGGTCGGCGTTGATCCTGTAATCGCCCAACAAGATGGAGTGACCACGCTGTGATCGGTGCTTCGGCAAGTTGCCGAAGGCACTGTCCGTCACGTAGATCACCGTGGTCTCCCGCAGGTTGAGGCCAGCAGCGAACCGAATCGGCAGGTCGGTTCGCTTCTGCATCCTCCTTGCAGCTGCACTGGTCCTGTAGGTCCTTCGCCGTCGGATCACCTAGGACGCATGCCAATCGAGATGCCTCGAAAGGCTCTCCGAAGCAAATCATGCGCGCAGCCCACTGCAACTGGCCTACCACCATTCGTAATCCCCGATGTCCAGCTTGGGTCAGCTTGCTGTCTGGTGCATTGCTGCGCTCACGGGATTTGCGCACTGTCTGCGTCGACTCCACGTATCCTCCACGGTGACGTCGATGCTCCCGTCCTCGTTTTGCCTGCAGGCCCTGCCACAAAACGCTGCCTTTCTGCCCTCGCGTACTTGGCCTCGCCAAAGTAGATTTCCTTCCGAAAGTCCCCCATGAATTTGGCGCCCTCCGAGCCGTCTGCCCTGACGCCGGCGAGGAGGTCGCCCACGCGCAGGCACAGGATCCCGATGACATTGCTCTGCTTGTTGCACTTGACAAAGGTCGCCGGCTCAAAGCTCAGGCCTTCCCAACCGAGCTCGATGATAATCTCGAATAGAGCTGCGTACGACGCCCTCGCTGCGTCGCTGGCCCCGTAGATGATCTCGTTTAACTTCAGCAAGTCCCCTGCTTTCGCACCCGGGATAGCGCGCTTCCCAGGTTTGTCGGGATCCGAAAGTACAGCTCGCGTGCGATAGCCACACCTGAAGAATAGCTCCCTTCACATCTGCGATGACCAGGTCCAAGTTGAGGCTCGATGCGACGCTGCAAATTAGCGGCGTCCTCTGGGCTGACACAGAGGGAGAGACGCTCCTCAGCTTGTCGACAAACTCCACCTCGCATCCACGGCCACAGATCCTCGCCTTCGGCTCGAAGGTCGCGGGGCCCATCTGTTCAGACCACCTTGGAACTTAAGATCTTACCCGGGCCTATCTTCTCGACGGCAGCTCCTGACGCGTTCTCTGCTGCCTCTTGCGTGCACCGTGCATTCCATTCATTGTCCGCTGCCTTCTGCGTCTTCTTCCACATCAGCGCGTCGTCGCCCAGGGCCTTCAGGTTGATGTCCTGATGCCTGTTGGGCCTGGGTCGCGCGCGCATCCGCTCGGCCGCGGACGCCTCGAACAGTAGTGGGGCATCGGCCGCGTGCTCGATTGGCCTAGTTTGCGACGTGGCCCGCTCAATGCTGATCGGCACGACATCCAGCGAGAACTCCCCGAGGGTCACTGGGTCCTCCCGTCGCTTTCCTCGATGTTGAACTGGCTGACGTGCGCTGCCTGCCTCGCCCTGCTGATCTTGCGGCGCTGGCGTCGGCGACGCCGGCGCCGATGCTGCAGCTGACTCCTCGGCTTCCCTGCGCTCCTCCACGTGGCGTAGAACGCCGGCGCGTATCCGAAGCCCCCCTATGTCCTCCAGCGCGTCATCCTTCTTCGCCCGCTTGAGCTGCAAGTCCTTCTTGGAAACATATTCCTTGCAACTTCGTTTTCAATCCTTCGGTTGCCCCCCTTCGGTTGCTCCGGCCCCTCCGCCGCTTGATCAGCTCGGTCCACCTGTTATCCAGCTTGAGCTTGGGGCTGCACAGCTCCACTTCGTTGAGGTGCAGCATCTTCTTCCTTCTTCGAGGTCGCCTCTTCATTCGCGGGAGGGGTTGAATCGATGCCAAATCATCGGGAATTTGAAGGTTGACGGCGCAGTCCTGCCTCGAAATATCTTGAATCAGGTCTGCAGTGTCCAAGCTGAATAGCCTCCGTCTCTCAATCTGGCACCCGGGCGCCGCGCCTGGAAGTAAAGGTCCATGGGTGACACTCTCCAGCCGCCGCAGGTCAGTCTCGGTTTGACTGCTCGCCGCCACTGCTCCAAGAATCGCGCCCCAAGCCAAGTGAGCTTGCCCTGGTCGCACTCGAATATCTTCCCCGGCTTGATCTTGATGATCTGCCGCGTCGGGATAACATCGTTGTCGTGAGCCACCTCCGATATCCGCTTCCACCTCCTGTTCATGTCCACCGTCTGCTCGATCTCGATCACGCCGCAATGGGCTGGCGTTGCTGCTGGTGCTGCAACTTCCGGTTGTGCTTCTGCTGGTGGTGCTCGATGTGAAACATCTCCGTGTGGCTGCTATTCCGGATGGTGTCGTTGATCCGCTGGTTCTCGTTATGCGCGTCGCTGGTCTTGTCACTGATCATGCTGCTGATCTGGCTGCTGCCCCCGCTGCTGTCCATCGCGAGCTGGATTGCACTGTTCGCCCCGTAGGTGGATGAAACCTCGCTGCCCGTCTCGTCCACGCGTTGGTCCACCGTCTGAGAATACGTCGGCAAACTGCATCGCGCTCACCGCATTCTCCGTCGCTTTACGCCGTAGGCTTGGTGAGCTCAAAATCGATTTCCGACTGTGGATAAGCCAGTATCCGTGCTCGTACTTTCCCAAGCATCGGGCAGGCCCATGCCATCATGCACGCAGGCTTCCCCTTGAGGTTGTCTGACCTCCAAAACGTAAATCGATAACCTTGCTGAATTCGTCCCGGCTGCGGACTGGCCCTTGCAAATACTGCGCGTCGCAGCGCTGGCGAGTTCGCTGCCCTGAAGAAAGCATCTGAACACACCTGCTGTCGGCGTAGCCAGTCTCAAAACGATGCATTCTCCACCGCCCATGAAACCGCTGCTGGATCGTCGCTGGCTGCTATGGCAGATGCCGCATTCCACTGTTGTCCCGTTTGCATCCTTCGGGCTGCCCCGACGCCCCTTGCCCTGCCCGAAGGCGCGCCTGCGGCCTCTACCCTTCCCCAAAAAGATTCCCTCATGCTTTGGTCCCGTAAGGGGGGCCAGGGGTGTCAGCATACCTCTACATGTAATCATCGTCGTTTACCCTTACCTCTACCCTTACCCATTGACCTTAACACGCGCCGAACTGCACGTCGTACCCTTCGAACTGGTTTCTGCATGAAACGTCTCCATTGGCGCTATGTTCCTGGCGGCCTAGGAATATCCACTTCGCCTGTTGCGCTTCGGCGAGGTGCGCGGGCATATCGAAATAGTCCAGATTACCAACTCCTTCATCTGACGAGGTGTCAGCATCGGTGCTGGCGTAAAAGTCTGACCCTGCAGCTTGCCGCGCCGAGCCCATGAGAGCAGTGGCCTGGGTAGGGGCCGCCGTTGCCGACGGCCCCGGATATCGAGCCCAGGAGCCTTGCGACCCCATGGGCTGGCCACCTTGCTGGCTCAATCGAATGGTGGCCTCGTTTGGTTGTGGATCGCCATTCCAGACGAGGTTGCCCCGCATGGGTGTCACTGTGGAAGACATCAGCGCAATGGCCGCGGCTAAGTACCCCACCAACGCTGCCAGGGGTTAGCTCAGCAATCTGGGCGTAAGCCCTCATGCGCTCCAGTCAGGAGTCGAACTGTTGCTGAATCCTTGGAATTTGGTGGCTCAGTGATTGTAGTAATTGCTGCGCGCGCGAAGTGCCGACACCTAGGGCCCTGAGCAGGATGACTGTCAGGACCTGGATGTCTGGGACGTTGAACCCCGCGGCGTCAGCTTCCAAGCGTGCAATCTCGAAGCGGGCCAGCGTCTGGTCGATCCGTTCTCCCGTATGGACGCGAAAGTCAACCAGAGCCGTTCCCGAATTAAGTTGTCGTTCCTCTTCCAGGTTCTCAAACGTAGTGCTGCGGAGGAACATTATGTAGGTGGCCCTATCGGCGTGCCGTCCACAAATGTTCACCCCAAAGTTGATTACTGCGAGGGGGACTCTCATGGCTATGGTCCTTGCGAGACCTCCAAGGCCACGCTGTAAAGCGGCGGCCTGTTGGGAGGGGGTCATAGTGCCTGTGGCCACTTTGATCCAGGCACGTACCTCGCGAGCGAACTCGCGGAAAGGTACGTTACTGGCAGGGTCCCAGTGGGGGCCGGTAGCACGCGTGTCGTCTGCACCACGCTGCATATGTCCAACAGCGCATCCGATGGCGACCCAGAGAAGACCATATACCGTGATGCCAAGGCATTGGCCCCGTAGGTCGGTGTCGTTTGTACGTGACTGTCGGTTACGAGGTGACGTTGCCGTCAGTTTGCGAGGTGCAGGCGGCACGATGTCATAACGCACGTTACTATGCACAGTATACTCGATGAAATTGAACATTGGCGTAGGTGGGTGGAATTCAGGAGTGTAGTAGCGCAGAGATGTAGGGCTCAGGTAAAAGACCTCTGCGTGAGCAGAGGCAGCAGTGCAAGTGTCCTTGCGAAGGTATAGAGCTCCTCCACGTAGAGCCCTTTCACCCTGATGTTCCACCATGTCGGCAGTTCACCAGATAGTGCCGTGGACAGCAAGGAGTAAAACTAGAGCTGGCCACCAACGGCCAGATCCGCTGCCAAGTTAAAGCTGGTCGGGAAGCCCAATCAGATGTTTCGCCCAAGGCGAAGCATACGTCCAATCATGCTGTATCGTATTAGCGATAGTGCCAGAAGCAGGAAGGAGCCGCGTGAGCGGCGATGATGCATCTCAAGAATGAAGGGTGGAACCTTTTCTGTCTCGATGTAAGGTAGTGGGCCGCGGTGCGGCCCGGTCAGATAGGTGGCCCGTCACTGGGCCAAAATGGCCGCGGACAAACGCTCGATACATCTCGCCTTTGCCCTTCTTCCTTCAGAGTTCCCACCCCCCTACTCTGCATCAAAACCCCATCGGCGGAGGAGGAAGAGAGGCGCTGAGGAAAAAGGAGGAGCATGGGCATCGCAACGCGCAACAACGCTTGCGAAAACATGCATGCAGGACGAAGTGCAGAGAATCACAAGAAAGTAATATGAAAAATACGCATGCAACGAAGACTAAACATAATACGAATAGCCACGCTAAGAATAATACGAATAAGGATGCCAAATACGACAAGAGGAAAAAAGCTTCGCGCTCAATCAACGACCATGCGTTTTCTTCAGGGGTACACCGACCCTGTCGGCGTGTGTGAGGGGCTTGTCCGTTCAAGTCGTCATCTCCGTCATTCGATGGTCGTCGTCTCTGTCGTCCCCTTTCCCTGCCTCCCCCCTTTCCCTGGGCTCGGCGAAGCTCCCCCCTTTCCCAGGGACGTCCTCAGCGCGCCAGCCAAAGCGAAAATAAGCAACGTCGTAATTCAGTCGAAGGGGAGCCTCCTCCCTTCGATCCCTCCCCCGCTGTGGGGGGTGGGGGGTGGGAGGCGGGGTCCCGGGGGGGGGGCGGGGGGGGGGAGGGACGCTCCCCCTGGGAGTCCCGGAGCCCCAAAAAAGCCCCAAGAGGGGCCAAGAGTGCCGCAAGAGGCCCCAAAGACAGTCCAAGAGAACCCCGAATCGCCGAACGATCTGTCCAAGACGCCTTGACGGCCTCCAGACGGCCCAAGAGGCCTGCAAAGCGCCCCTGAACCTCCAGGAGCTTTCTCACGAGAGCCCCAAGAGGCAAAAATCATGGATTTCCCATACGTGTTTGAAAGATTTTGGCGTTATTGCCTCTTCCGCTTCCCAACGCGCCAAGACGGCCCGAGAGGCCTTCAAGATCGCCCCGAGACGGCCCAAGAGGCCCCCAAGAGGGTCCCCTAACGGCCGAAGAGGGCCCCCAGACGGGGGACCCGAACGGACATTTCGAGCTCTCGGCCCCAAGAGGCCCCCAAGAGGCCCCGAAAAAGCCCCAAGAGGCCCCAAGACGCTCCCAACGGGCCCCCAAACTGCCCCAAGACAGCCCAGGAGAGCCCCAAATTGCCCAGGAGGCCTCCAAGAGTGCCTCGAGACGGCGCAAGAGGAGCCCTGGACGGCCCAAGACGGCCTCAGGAGCGCCACAGGCTGTCCCAAGAAAGCCTCTGGCCTCCTCCTCTTCCCCCTCTTCCTCCTCCTCCTCCTCCTCCTCCTCCTCCTCCTCCTCCTCCTCCTCCTCCTCCTCCTCCTCTCCCCCCCCCTCTGCTCCGCCTCCTCCTGCTCTCCTCTGCCTCCTTCTCCTCCTCTTGCTTCTCATCCACATCCTTCTCCCCCCCTCCTCTCTCATCCACCTCCTCCACCCTGCCCCCCCCTCGTTTTCATCTTTGTCGATCTCCAGGTCGGCGGCAACGGCCGTAAGGCCTTCGCAATAAGGATGACAAATACGATAAGAGGAAGAAAGCTTCGCGCTCATTCAACGACGATGCGTTTTCTTCAGGGGTACCAGGGATGGCCGCACGTCCACCTATATTTACATATTTATATATGTGTAAATACATATATATATATATACATATATATATATATGTATCTACAGGGTTTATACATGTTTGTATGAACAGTTCTGCACACACATATACATTTATACACGTACCTATACTTGTACATATGCCTATACATACGTACATACATACATACATGCATGCATGCATGCATGCATACATATATACATAAGTACATACATACATATATACATACATACATACATACATACATACATACATACATACATACGTACATACATACATACATACACGTACACATATATATATATATATATATATATATATACATGCATACATCCATTCATACACATATGCATACACATAATCATGCACATAGTCATGTGCACATGCAAAGAAATTTGTATAGAGAGTTATGTATGCATGCATGCATACGTGCATGCACGCATCATGCATGCATACATACATACATACACGCTTGCCTGCATACATACAGCATCCATACGAAGACTCCTGTTGACAGGTATGCGTACATGCAGGTATACATACGTACACACATATATGCATTCATACAAACATACATACATACATACATACATACATACATACATACATAGACACACATATATATGTATATATACATATGTATGCGTATATATATATAGAGAGAGACCTACATATTCACTTCCCTATATACATACATACATACATACATGCATACACCCGCATAT